ACCCAAGTCACGTTCTCTCTTAATTGTGCACATGGAGGTCAGGTTGTTCATATCTTCTGCTTCTTCTTCTTTATCGTCTTTTTCCTTCTTCCTTTTCTCTTTTCCTTCATTCTTATTTATTTCTCGTTGTTTTTGTTATTTTTATTTCAATCTTCATTTTTCTATTTTCCTCTTGTTCTTTCTTCTTCTTCTTCTTCTTCTTTATTCTTATTCTTAATTCTTCTTCGTCTCTTCTTATTCCTATTCTTTAAATGTAAAGTAATATTTTGTTGTGGACGAAAAGGTCTCTCTCTCTCTCTCTCTCTCTCTCTCTCTCTCTCTCTCTCTCTACAGGATGTAACAAAATGTCCTTTACGATACGAGATTTTTTTTCCCAGCAGATGGATTTATTTTCATAGTACATTGCCATAATTTTTTTTCCTGGATTAAATTCTTTGTTCTCAATGGGTGGTTTTTAGGGGGTAAAGGGGGTAAGGGGATTTTGGGGGAAGGGGATGTTTTTCTAGTACACTGTATGATATTATACAAGTGTGTGGGGATTACTGTGTCAGTCACTTTAAGGAAGATGTTATTTTGTTTGTTTTCTAGTGTGAATGAGAGAGAGAGAGACAAAGCATTCCAGTCAACAAGTCAGGATGTCCATCGATTAAAACAAATAAAACAATAAATAAATAAAAAAAATTAAAATATCTACATAAAAACCTTAACACAACAACTCTCTCTCTCTCTCTCTCTCTCTCTATTTTATTCTTTCTCTTTAACAAGGATTTTTCCCCAAACATGATACAATATTTTAACAAATGAAAACACGACATTCCACACACTCCCCCTCCCCACACTCCCCCCTCCCCACACACTCCCCTCCCCCCCTGACACTATACCCAGTGCTTCAATATTTTATAGTGTTCTATTTACTTTTTGCCCTCCCTTGTGTTTCTGTGTATTGTTAGTTAAAATATTTGGTCCTCTCCTGCCCCCACCTTCCAGACCCCTTGTTTGTATTGATGTTTAACCCTTTTTAAAACACACACACCCCTCTGCTCCATCATCAATGCTTCTCTCAGTCAAGCCAGATGCCCAGCTGACTGGAAGACCTCTTATGTATCACCAGTGCCCAAGTCGACCAGCCCACAATCCTTAAATCAGCTACGACCTATTGCAATCACCCCAATACCCAGCCTAATCTGTGAAAGTTTTGTGTTTGACTGGGCTTATGCTGATATTGCAGGAGTCGTAGACCCTCAGCAATTTGGCAACATGAAAACTTCCTCCACCACTCACTGTCTTGTCAGCTTTCTCGATTACATATACCGCCATCTCGAGAAACGAAAAACGTCTGTAGCTGTCGCCTTCATTGATTTCACTAAAGCGTTCGACCTAGTCGACCACAATATAATCATAAACAAAGCTATTGACCTCGGGCTTCGGAGAAGTCTCATACCATGGCTTACAGACTTCCTCAGTGACCGACGCCAAGCTGTACGCTTCCGAGGGGCTGTCTCCACCTTTCAGTCACTCACCTGTGGCGTCCCCCAAGGCACCAAGATGGGACCACTCTGCTTCCTTATGCTCATCAATGATGCCCTAAGAGAAACCCCTGCTCGCTGGAAATATGTCGACGACTCCACCATTGGGATCAGCGTCAACAATTCTGCTCCCAACTATACCGCCCTTCAGGACTTATTGAACAGTCTCCAAAACTGGGCCACCAACAACCATGTCACCATCAACCATACCAAGACCATGGTTATGCACATCAACCTCTCCTCCGACATTGTCCCACCGCCTTCCATTTCCCTTGGTCCGAACACACTCCAGGTTGTAGATTCCACGAAGCTCCTCGGCGTCACCATAGACAACAAACTAAATTGGAAACTACACGTCAGTGAAGTTGTCAAATCCTCCAGTTTCCGTCTCCACCTCCTCCGCCGACTCAAGTCCCTCGGAGTTCCTGCACATGAGCTCCTCAGTGTATACACGACATTCATACTTCCCAAGCTCACCTATGCCTCCCCCACCTGGTCTTCCTCCCTAAATGCCACACAACGTAAACACCTAGAAAAAGTGCAAAAGAGGGCATGCAAGATTATTCTCTCCCCTTCCTACTCCACATATCAAGAAGCGCTCAACACACTGACCCTTTCGACTCTCACTGACCATCACCACGGCCTCATCTGCAAATTTGGTAAGAAGCTTCTACACCATCCCGACACCGGCCCCTACTACCACCTGAGATCCCCTGTCCGAGAATTGCTGTTCGACACCACAACCGCATCCAGCCCATACGTGCACGAACTGATCGCTATAAGAACAGCCCAGTCCCAACCATTGTAAAAATTATCAATAACATGTAATAAATCAGTGTATTCACTCCCAGTAAACACTGCTCCCTACACTGTCACTATGTTGAAATGAACTGTAGTTTGAGCTGATCCCCATCTAAGTTATTATATGTCTTATTTGTGTCACTTGTATATTATTTGTAATTCGTAACCCATTCCCCAAATATGTAACTGTATATTTTCAGCCTTCTGGCTGCCAAGCTCTTTCAATAAACCGTTAATTATTATTATTATTATTATTATTATTATTATTATTATTATTATTACACACACACACACACACACACACACACACACACACACACACACACACACACACACACACACACACACACACACACACACTTTACCCTACAATAAAAATATAAATAAATCTTTTACTCCTTATAGCTGTACTAATCCTTCCCTCTCCCTTTACTTTCCTCCCTTTCCTTTCCCCTCTACTTTCCTCCCTTTCCCTTTAACTGTCCTCCTTCTCTCTTCCTTTCCTCTCTCCTACCGAGTGCCGAGAAAGGTGTAACTAGCTCCTACGACACCATTTCTTGCCCACATATACAACAAAAACACGACGAAACGTGAACACAAACAAAGGGTAAATACTGTACACTAAACCTGACCTCACCTGACCTGACCTACCCTAACAAGGCCAGGCAAAGCCAAATCAAATCACATCAAATCAAACCTAACCTAATCAGCCCAAGCCAAATCAAACCTGACCTGACCTGACCTGACCTGACCCTAACCTGACCTGACAGCCTGGCCTTACCTATTAATTAATAATATCCATCGCCCTTTTAAATATTTCAATTCCTTTTCATTCACCTTCTGTACATGCATACCACCTCCACTTCACTGACCTAACACTCCACCCACCTCCACTTCACTGACCTAAAACTCCACCCACCTCCACTTCACTGACCTAAAACCCTCCACTTCACTGACCTAAAACCCACCCACCTCCACTTCACTGACCTAAAACCCACCTCCACCCACCTCCTACTGCCCTAAAAACTCCACCCACCTCCAATTCACTGACCTAAAACTCCACCCACCTCCACTTCACTGGACTGACCTAAAACTCCACCCTCCACTTAACTGACCTAAAACTCCACCTACCTCCACTTCACTGACCTAAAAACTCCACCCACCTCCACTTCACTGACCTAAAAACTCCACCCACCTCACTTCACTGACCTAAAACTCCACCCCTCCACTTCACCCACCCAACCTCCACTTCACTGACCTAAACTCCACTTCCACTTCACTGACCTAAAAACTCCACCCACCTCCACTTCACTGACCTAAAACTCCACCTCCACTTCACTGACCTAAACTCCACCCACCTCCACTTCACTGACCTAAAACTCCACCCACCTCCACTTCACTGACCTTCCACCCACCTCCACTTCACTTCTTCTTCGTTTCACCATTCAAGACCCGCCATCCGCCCTCGTTCCAACGTCTTCATCGCATTAATAGCCTTGCCTAGCCGCCCTTTGATGAGTGAGGGGGTAGGGGGACTGCAGGGGTGAGGGAGGGGAGGGAGGTGAGGGAAGGAGGAGGTGAGGAGGGGTGAGGGAGGGGTGAGGGAGGGAGAGGGTGAGGGAGGTGAGGAGGGGTGAGGGAGGGTGGAAGGGGTAAGGGAGGGGGGTGGGGGGGTTGCAGTTGAATATGCATGAACCCCGAGTAATGAGATTTTAATCACTTCAAAATGAGGAGAATAATATGTGCTCACCCAATTTAGGTTATGGTTAGGTTAGGTTAAGTTAGGCCAGGTCAGGTCAAGTCAGGTCAGGTTTGTTATTCTTAATGCTGTTATTGTGACACGCCTTCGGCAGGTATTTCAAGGTGTGTGTTTCGCTTCAAGACATGAGAGAGATGAGTGTATTTCACTTCAAGAGAGAGACAGACAGACAGACAGACAGACAGGAGTGACCACAAAACATAACAGGGACCACCACAGACAGAGGAGGTATATGTGAGAGGTTGACAGACAGACAGACAGACAGACAGACAGACAGACAGACCTACGTGACCTCACACATTATGGCGAGAAACCAGTCCGGGCCATTAACTGTAAACTATAATAATTGTTATGCTCAATTTATGTTTCTTCTCCTTTTACTAATGAAAGCTTTTGTTAAACGACCCCCCCCACCCTATGTCTTTATATGTAATAAATCACTTTTGTCTATTGTATATTTTCAATCCTTCGAGCTGCAGAACTTTTTCAATAAGCCGTTAATTGTTTACTATTATTATTATTATTATTATTATTATTATTATTATTATTATTATCATTATTATCATTATTATTATTATTACAAGACCCGACAAAACAGGACTAAGCTGCGCCATATTCAATTCCTAACCTCATATTTACGTTATTAAAATTAGTTCACCTTGAATCTTTACGCCGCTACACATGTCTAGTATAGGGGGAATTCTAAGTGTTTAAAACCGTGGGGGGGAGGAGAGGAGGGTGAGAGAGGGGGGAGGAGAGAGGAGAAGGAGAGGGGGAGGAAGAGAAGGGAGGGGAGGAGAGGGGAGGAGGAGGGGGGAGGAGGAGAGGGGGAGGAGGAGAGGAGGAGGAGGAAGGAGGAGAGGGGAGGAGGTTATCTTCGTGTGTCAATCAGGTCACTACACTCCAAGATCCTGATGTTAACAGGTGGTTGTATCCCCACCCCCCCCCCCTGCTTCTGTCCAAGGGTTAATGACCATCAGAGGAAGAAGCACTATACACTTCCACCATCAGGGGAAGAAGCACTATACACTTCACCATCAGAGGAAGAAGCACTATACACTTCACCATCAGGGGAAGAAGCACTATACACTTCACCATCAGAGGAAGAGGCACTATACACTTCACCATCAGAAGAAGAAGCACTATACACTTCACCATCAGAAGAAGAAGCACTATACACTTCACCATCAGAGGAAGAAGCACTGCACACTTCTGCACCATCAGAGGAAGAGGCACTATACACTTCACCATCAGAGGAAGAGGCACTATACACTTCACCATCAGAAGAAGAAGCACTATACACTTCACCATCAGAGGAAGAAGCACTATACACTTCACCATCAGAGGAAGAAGCACTATACACTTCACCATCAGAGGAAGAGGCACTATACACTTCACCATCAGAGGAAGAGGCACTATACACTTCACCATCAGAGGAAGAAGCACTGTACACTTCACCATCAGAGGAAGAAGCACTATACACTTCACCATCAGAGGAAGAAGCACTATACACTTCACCATCAGAGGAAGAAGCACTATACAGTTCACCATCAGAGGAAGAAGCACTATACACTTCACCATCAGAGGAAGAAGCACTATACACTTCACCATCAGAGGAAGAAGCACTATACACTTCACCATCAGAGGAAGAAGCACTATACACTTCACCATCAGGGGAAGAAGCACTATACACTTCACCATCAGAGGAAGAAGCACTATACACTTCACCATCAGGGGACGAAGCACTATACACTTCACCATCAGAGGAAGAAGCACTATACACTTCACCATCAGAGGAAGAAGCACTGTACACTTCACCATCAGAGGAAGAAGCACTGTACACTTCACCATCAGGGGAAGAAGCACTGTACACTTCACCATCAGAGGAAGAAGCACTGTACACTTTACCATCAGAGGAAGAAGCACTGTACACTTCACCATCAGAGGAAGAAGCACTGTACACTTCACCATCAGAGGAAGAAGCACTATACACTTCACCATCAGAGGAAGAAGCACTGTACACTTCACCATCAGGGGAAGAAGCACTGTACACTTCACCATCAGGGGAAGAAGCACTGTACACTTCACCATCAGGGGAAGAAGCACTGTACACTTCACCCCGACACCCGCTTCATCAGAGCCATTAAGCTAACACCAAGAAAAAATTTAATACCTATTTTGACTAATTATCGTTCAGTATTTTTTTCCGGTAAAGTTGGAGCGAGAACTGTGTTATAATGAGAGCGTTTCCTACCTAAACTAACCTAACCTAACCTACCTCTACTACCACCACCACCGCTCTACTATCCACCACCACCACTCTACTATCCACCATCACCGCTACTACTATCCACCATCACTACTACCAACACCACCGCTTATGCGTATATATATATATATATACCATTCAAAAGCGTAGCGTGGGAAATTCTAAGGAACCGTGGGAAAATTGAAACGAGCATGGGAAAATTTTTATGTTCGTGGGAAAATTGAAAACGTCGTAGGAAACTTGATATACGTTCGTGGGAAAATCTATACAAGCGTGGGAAACTTGAAACGGTCGCGGGGAATTTTTTGTTGTAAAAGTGGATATCCAATCGATCCAACTTCAAAAACAAATTCTTCTCCGATAAACACCCTTTACCCGATGCCGTCGTATTGTAGTAGGTCGGTTACACTTTCAATACCGACTCCTGTTTCTTTACATCAAAAAAATACGAAGACAGCAAAAAAAATAAATATCATGTAGACCGAGATATTTTCTTTTAATATAAATAAAACAATGGACAAAGATCATAAATAAAAAATAATAAACTTTATTGATAAGACAACAATATCAATCAAATAAATTAGATAAATCATTTTTCTCGCTCTAAGTTGACTGTCTAATGATCACCGCTTCGTATTGTCTCTGAGAACATAATGTGACAGAGAGCCAATGTAGAGTACCGGTAATATAACCACACCACACCACTACAACACCATCACCACCATCACCACCATCACATCACTAACTATTTCGCGCACGCACACACACACATCACTGTCAGCTAGTCCTTGATACGTGATACCAGACCCTTAAGGTAGATTCCCTGGGGTTGACTCGTAAATTCTAAGGTAAGCCAGATAGGATGAGCTTGACTATAGGTCAACACACAGTCAGGTCACGCCCCACCAAGCACCGTGGAACTAACACAACAACAAAGGGTTAAACTGCCATGTGTAATCTCGCTGTGTGACTCGGTAAACAAGACTCGTAAACATGGCGCGGTGTTATTACAGAAAACGGGAAATTCACAATAGAAGGAAAAAAACACAACAACGGGTAAGAGTTCCTTTACTAAAACAATTGGCTACATCACTCGCCTTGATCTCGCACCGCCACCACGAATAGAAAAAAAAAAGATTAATGTACATATAAATCATTAAGTCAAAAGAGTCTAAGAGGAAAATACAGTAAAAATAATTCTAACATGACAGAGAAACGCCTGAGTGCTGACTGAAGCCGATTTTTCATCCCCTGGAACTCATCTCACCCCCAACCATCCCACCACCACCACCACCACCCACCCCCTAAGAGTGCCAGACCCCTCCTACCGGCTCCCACCACCCAGAGTGCCTCCCTGTGCCCTACCCCCTCCCACTTCTCATCCCTGACCACTTATATTACCCCCTTCCCTCCTCCTGCCTGTTTAAACAAAGTGTCCCGTCATTAAGTTTCCCCACAAGCAATTTAAATCAAAGTCATCCAGTTAATATGAAGATAATTCCATTTAGGAGTCTTCACTGCTAGATCACACAACTTGATATTAAACCGTTAAAAATCCCATCTTTCGTACCAACATTTACTCTCTGTGTTTTAAAAGATTCTCTACTTTTTTTTTATAATAACAGAAAAAATCCTCAAAACTCTGGACAAAAACTGTGTAAGATTTTCTTCATCAATACTCGGAAAGGTCTGAGGTTTTTTTTTTTTTTTTGCACCTCAGGATTTTCAAGGCTGACATGACTTGAAACTCCTAGATGCCCTGGAGGGAGCTTCCTGCCATGGTACCTCGCCTCTATCTCTCTCTCATTATCTCCTTACCTTTTCATCTTCTTATTTTCATTTTTATCGACCTTGGAGGCTAAAGACAACATTGATAAATCGCAAACTAAACGAGAAATTCACATGCAGGTAGACAGAGCCCTTGGCAGGTAAGCAGACTGACAGGTAACCAATACAATCAAGGTGAACCGATGTTATAGGGAGGGGAGGGTACGGGGGCAGGGGGAGGGGAGGGAGGAGGTCTTGTGTTCACCCCCACCACTATAAGATAACCAGACATCACCCACCCACTCCTACACCCACCCCTGCACTACTCCCTACTGCAACACTCCACCCACTCCCTACACCCACCCACCACCACACCACCCCTGCACTACCCCCACCAAACACCCACCCACTCCCACACCCACCCACACACCTACACCCACCTCCTGCACTACCCTACTGCCCCACCCCACACTCCACCACACATTCCACACCCACCCCCTTGCACTACACCTCACCGCGTGCAACACCACCACTCCCACACCCACCCACCCCACACATTCTCCAGCACCCACCCCTGCACCACCCCTACTGGCACACCCACCCACCTCCCCACACCCCACTCCACCCACTGCCACACCCACACCCACCCCCACACTACTCCCCTACTGCAACACACCCACCACCCCACACACACCCACCCACCTGCCACACCTACACCTACCTCTGCACTACCCTTGCTGCACCCACCCACCCACTCCCACACTCCAGCTCCACCCACCACACTTCCACACCCACCCTACTGCAACACCCACCCACTTCCTACACTCCACCACTCCACCTGCACCCACCCGGCACACTTACAGCTAATTTTGCACCACAATCTCTCAATAACACAAAGACAGGGAGTGACGGAAACGCCAAGCCCCGGGGTCGTATCCTAGGAGCGGACCTGAAATTGAAACAGAGGAACACAGTAGGAAGAAATTATTTATTGAGGGAGGGGGGAGGCAGGAGGAGAAGGAGGGGGAGGGAGGAGGGAGATGGGAGGGGGAGGGAGGGAGAAGGAGGGGGGGAGGTGGAGAAGGAGGAGGGGAGGGAGAAGGGAGGGAGGGGAGGGAGAAGGAGGGGGGAGGGGCGAAGGAGGGGGGGAGGGAGAAGGAGGGGAGGGGAGGGGAAGAGGGGAGGGAGGGAGAAGGAGGGAGGGAGGGAGAAGGAGGGGAGGGAGAGGAAGGAGGGGGAGGGAGAAGGGAGGGGAGGGAGAAGGAGGGAGGGAGGAGGGAGGAGGGAGGAGGGGAGAAGGAAGTGGGATGAGAATGAAACAGAGAGAGAGAGAGAGAGAGAGAGAGAGAGAGAGAGAGAGGAGATGAGGAAGGTTAAGGGAAATAGAAACCAAATGATTGAGGGGAGATGGGGAGAGAGAGGAGGAGAGAGGGGAAGGAGAGAAAGAAGAAATGAGAGGGGAATGTGTATATAATTGAGAGAAAGAAAGGAGGGGGGGGGAGAAAGAGCTGGGCTACAGAGTGGGGGGGTGAGGGAGGGGAGGAGGGGGAGGGGGGGGGTGAGGGAGGTGGAGGAGGGGGGAGAGTGGAAGGGGAAGAGGAGGGAGGGGGGGGAAAATTGGTAAATAAATGTAATAAGCATGTGAGGGACAAGGGGGAAATTCAATGAAGATGGTGGAGGAAGAGGGAATAGGTGGGGGGAATGAGGAAAAGAGGAGGAGGAGGAATGAAGGCAAATGGAGAAGGGAGGAGGAAAATAGGAAATCAAGGAAGGAAGGAAGAAGAAGGAAGGAAGAAGGAAGGAAGGAAGGAAGGAAGGAAGGAAGGAAGGAAGGAAGGAAGGAAGGAAGGAAGGAAGGAAGAAAGGAAGGAAGGAAGGAAGGAAGGAAGGAAGGAAGGAAGGAAGTAGAGGGAGAAGAAAATACAGAAGAGGAGAAATGAGAAAGAAAGGAGGACAGGGAAATGAATCAGAGAGGAGGAGGAGGAGGAGAGGAGGAGGAAGATGATGAAAGAGTATGAAGGAGAAGAAGAAGAAGAAGAAGAAGGAGAGAATAGAGATAAGGATAAAACAGGGAGAGAAGATAGACGATAAGATAAAGCAGAAGTGAGGAAAAGAAAACAGAGTGATAATGAGGAAGAAGAGGAGGAAGAGACAAGCTGTTGAGAGAAGACGATAGAGAGAGAGAACACGAGAGAAGAGATAAGACGAGAAGAAAGGAGGAGGAGGAGAAGAAGAGATGAAAAGATTAAAAGAGAAGAGGAGAGAAAGGGTGGGAGAGAGGGAGGGAGATAAAGGGAACAGGGAGATGATGATGATGAAGAGACGAAACAAAGGGAGAGAGAAAGAGTAGGATAAATATAGGGGTAGAGAAAATGAAATAAGAGATTAGAGAGAACAAAGAGAGTTAAAGGAGAGATAATGAGAAAGAGAGATAGATGCATGGACAGAAGGAGAGACAGATAGATAGACAGATAGACAGATAGACGGAGAAACAGACAGACAGTAAGAGGCCGAATATTTTAAAAGTAATCCACCAAAAAATCTTTCAATTATATAAGAAAGAAAGAAAAGAAAAAGAAAGAAAGGAGGTGGTTGTGATATGGTGTGTGGGGTAATTGTCAGAAGAAGAAGAAGAAGAAGAAGAAGAAGAAGAAGAAGAAGAAGAAGAAGAAGAAGAAGGTGAAGAAGAAGAAGAAGAAGAAGAAGAAGAAGAAGAAGAAGAAGAAGAAGAAGAAGAAGAAGAAGAAGAAGAAGAAGAAGAAGAAGAAGAAGGAAGAAGAAGAAGAAGAAGAAGAAGAAGGAAGAAGGAAGAAGAAGAAGAAGAAGAAGAAGGAAGGAAGGAAGAAGAAGAAGAAGAAGAAGAAGAAGAAGAAGAAGAAGAAGAAGAAAAGGAAGGTAAGAAGAAAGAAGAAGAAGAAGAAGAAGAAGAAGAAGAAGAAGAAGAAGAAGAAGAAGAAGAATAGCTGAAGAAGAAGAAGAAGAAGTTGGTTATTGAAGAAGAAGAAGAAGAAGAATAAGAAGAAGAAGAAGAAGAAGAAGAAGAAGAAGAAGAAGAAGAAGAAGAATAATGAAGAAGAAGAAGAAGAAGAAGAAGAAGAAGAAGAAGAAGAA